CCTGTCCTCCGATACTTTGATCCCGCCAAAGAGACTGTACTTCAATGCGACGCCTCGGACACTGGACTTGGAGCTACGCTTTTACAAAATGGTCAGCCAGTGGCATACGCATCGCGATCCCTGACGGATACAGAACGCAACTATGCGCAAATAGAAAAAGAACTGCTAGCCATAGTGTTTGGAGCCGAGAAGTTCAACCAATACACTTATGGTCGCAAAGTGATTGTTGAGAGCGACCATAAACCACTTGAAGTTATTTACCGCAAACCTCTCGTGGCCGCTCCCAAGCGTCTACAACGAATGCTACTTCGCCTGCAGAAGTATAACCTCGAAATTGGTTTCAAGCCAGGCCAGCACATGTATCTGGCAGACACACTCTCTAGAGCACCCCTTCCCAACACCACATCGCGCGATGAAGTGCTAACCATCGACAAAGAAGTTGAAGAAATACATATGGTCGAGTTTCTGCCACTCCGCAAAGCTAGCCTAGACGATATCCGTAAAGAAAGTCTGCGAGACAGCACGATGCAAGCACTTCAGAAAGTCATTCGAGAAGGGTGGCCTGAGACCAAGATTGATCTCCCAAATGACGTCACGCCATACTTCAACGTTCGTGACGAGCTATCAGCGCAAGATGGAATTATCTTCAAAGGAGACAGATGTGTAGTTCCAAAATCCCTCAGACCAGAAGTCCTATCCAGAATCCACCGATCACATATTGGCGTGGAAGGATGCCTGAGACGCGCGAGAGAAAGCGTTTTCTGGCCAGGAATGAACACAGCTGTGAAGAACTTTGCCAGACAGTGTGAAACTTGTCGAACCTTTGAGATCTCCCAGCAGAAGGAAACACTCCACCCACATGAGGTACCTGACCGGCCATGGTCCAAGGTTGGTGTTGATCCGTTTGAGACAAACAACCGACATTACCTCGTGACCGTAGACTACTACAGCAACTACTGGGAAGTCGATAGGTTGGAGTCCAGTACAACATCTAAAGCTGTTATTTACAAATTGAAGCAACACTTTGCAAGGCATGGCATCCCGAACACTGTGTTTTCCGACAATGGCCCACAGTTTGATTCGGACGAATTCAGGAGATTTGCTCGAGATTGGGAATTCAATCATTTAACCTCAAGTCCCGGACATTCGCAGTCCAATGGTATGGCGGAAAGCGCAGTCAAGACTGTGAAAAGGCTTATTAAGAAGGCTAACAAAGATGGAACAGATCCTTGGCTCGCGATCCTCGACCACCGAAACACACCCTCAGAAGGCATGAAAAGCAGTCCAGCACAACGACTAATGAGTCGTCGAACAAGGACCCTACTCCCAACAAGCGAGAAGCTCCTTAAACCCAAACTCGCCGAAAATGTCCAAGAAGAAAAATGGAAGACAAGAACCAAGCAGGCATTTTACTACAATAGAAACGCTCGAGATTTGCCACCACTGAAAACTGGAGACTCAGTGCGCATTCAGCCCACAAGCAACCCCAAGGCGCCCTGGAAGAAAGCCACTGTTCAGGAACAGGTGAACATGCGATCCTACAAAGTCCTCACAGAAGATGGCTCTGCCCTTAGACGAAATAGAAGGCATCTGAAAGCAACTACAAAAGAGTCTCACACGCCAACAACCCAGATGCCCAAGCAGACAGAACTTCCCTCGCCATCTAAACACATTGAACAAGAAACTAACGCCAGTGGTCACTCCAGCTCAGAAGTAGCGAAGCCACAGGAGCCAGCGATCGAGCAGCCTGCGACTGATCTAGCATCGCAAGCTTCCAAAGGCAACCAGACTCGCAGTGGTCGAATAACGAAGCCCCCGTCCTATCTGAAAGACTTTGTTCGTTAACCTGAGTCAGTGTCATGAGAGACAAAGACATTACCGGACTTGACTAGTTGATTCTTTTGGATAGTGGTTTTGATTTTTTTGTTTCTCATGTTTGTTTTGATTGTTCCGTTGTTTTCGTTTTGTTTCTTATGAAAGAAAGGATGTAACGAGAGCACACTCGGAGATCACGTGCACCTCAGGTGACACATGATACAGCGGTCGATGTTATCTAATCGCCAAAGGTTTTAGATCACATATATCTACATGAGAGCGCACTTAGTTTACAAATAAAGACTGTTCGTTACCTAGAAATCGTGTGTTTATGGTAGAACGAAACAAAGACGAGATTCTAGTCCATCGCAGGTTACTCTTACCTCTCTTCCCTCTTCCCAGCGTTTTTTCAGTCTTCATTCCCCTGAGTGAAGCATGACTCAGAAAAGATGATAGAATCGCAATCAACCGCGATTTTTACTACAGTTCAGATTCGTATATACTTACAAGATATTTACTATCAAGGAGACTCCTGATCTCCCGGAAATTTTTTTCCGTGCATTGTGGTTTTTCATTTCTGCCATCTTACCATTCCATCCATGGAGTCGTCCAAAGAATTTTATCTCAAAAGCACGCATCTTCTGTTCACATTGAAGGTGATGGAGGGCTCAAATGATTTAAAGAATTACCTATAACGGTTCGTGTGATCACGTGTTCTTGACTAGACCCTGTGAGCAGGGTAACTGGGATACCTGGATGGTACTGGATCCTTGGAATCAAGTGTAGTGATACTACGGGTGTCGGACTAGTTGCCCCCGCAGGGTTTTTGGCCCCAGAGGGCCAAAAAACCCGAGGAGGCACCTTAGGACTCCCCGCGTAATATAGAGGAAGACTCGAGAAGAGGGAATGTGGGTATTTTCGGTAGATCATAACCAGAAAAAATCTCGATTTGATCGCTTGCACGGCTGCAAGGTATCAACGTTTTTCCTGCAAATGGTCATGGGCTGCCAGTAAAAAGACACGCGCGCGAGGACTTTTGACACGAGATTTGTGCTAGTATAGAGGAAGACTGGAGAAGAGAGAATGTAGGTGTTTTCGGTTGATCGTAACCAAAAAAAATCTCGATTTGATCGCTTGCACGGCCGCAAGGTATCAACGTTTTTCCCGCAAATGGTCATAACTACACAACTGTAAACAACAAGCCCAACTCAAAAAAAAAAAAAGAAAATGGTACTGTAGGGCGGGGGCAGCTCTAGTGAGAACTATAACTAGTATACTGAAATAGTGCGCTCAAGTCTGGCCAAGGGCATACACCTATTTCAAAACATAGGCATGCTATGCGTGCAAGAGTTCCTTTTTTGTAGGGTGGGTGGATTACTTGAAACATTGTGAGTGATGTCTACATTCTTACAAAAGGAGAAAAGAATATTAATGTGGGAAAGAACGAAAATGTCAAATTACCTCACTCACAGGTATTTTGTGGTAGATTATGTATGTTTTGCGAATAAATGTAACCAAAAATAAACTGTATTGGTGCCACGGATACCTGTTAGTACAAAATGCAGACAGCAGACTGCAGACCGGATACAAAATATAGACTGCAGACTGCAGAGTGGGTACAAAATGTAGACTAAGAATCTGAAGAGTTTTTACGTCTGGTATATAATAACATGTCATATTACAGCTCACCGAGCGTCACGCAATCGCTCTTCTGCGATCCGCCTTCACGATTATTTGCAGTATTGAGGAATATTCCTGGCCCATTTCTTGATGAAAATCGATCGCAATATTATTTCAAGCCTTCAATATAGTCTTCTTACTTTGCGTGCGAGTTGGTTGGTGTGATGTCTGTACAGATTTTATCAACGTAATAAAAGTAGATGATGTGAACAACAGTGATGGTAAAGCAAGCTTAAAACGGCAGAAATCGCCAGAAAATACAACGGATACACAGGGTATGATTAATTTTTATTGACTTTACGAGAAAAATGTTCATATTTCGAAATATGAATCGTTGTAAATCGACCATACTTCGTTCTCTGTACTATTCCTTATAACGTGCAGTTCCTCTCGTAACTTAACACCGAGTCACACAACGCGTGACGCGTTCATAAATTAATCGTTGGCTTTTTACCGAGACGTGAGCTTGGGCCGCTTGTGACAAGACAATGGCGTAAACAATATTTAACATAACAACATTATACACAAAAAAACACAGGGTTCTGGATCACATATTTATTAAAAAAGAATATCCATACAACTACAATGAAAACAAACGTAAGATTCACCTTTCTGATCGTGAAATTAATACCATTCGTACTGTTATCGTAGCTACGTTCCTTGCCATCAAGTGAATCCAACATGTCGTCTTTCTTCACAAGCAGTTTGCATCCCTTATAGCTATGTTCTTCAGTCTCACGGTAGTAGCGTTGTTCAATAGATTGCATAGAGTATATGCAGTTTGGTTTCAGATTTCAGATTTTGCTTTTTACAACAAGTGAACGTTTTTCAACTAAGACATTGGCATACTTAGCATACAAGGCATTCAAGGCTTTCATGGCTTTCAAGCGTTCGTGACTCAATCCGTTCCAAAATTACCGCTCAATAACATCTTTCAGTGTGGATTAGCCGCGATTAATACGATTTGTATATGCGTCTGTAAGTATTTTGCGCGTTTCCGCTATAATGCTCCAGGAGATCGCAATCCAAATACGTTGAAATATAAGGGCCTATTTACACGGTACGACTTTGTCGCATGCGACAAGCTTACGACAGGCTTACGACACGAATTGTTTCGTGTAAATCAAACCTACAACTCGCTTACGACTCTTAAGTCATGTCGTAGGCCTGTCGTAAGCTTGTCGCATGCGACAAAGTCGTGCCGTGTAAATAGGCCTTCAGATAACTGACCAAAGAGCTTTATAAGCAAAATCTCGTGTTTGTCATGTGACCCGGCCCTGTCTGTGCATGACAAGGTCAATCATCATCAAGATAACACGCGTGATCAGCATGTGAACACCTCATTGGATCACAGTTAGTTGTCATGGTGTTGAGGGCCCAATGACCTCTGGGTACTATTGCGCAATTTTTCCATTTTGTGGCGGAGGAAAAAAAAAAAAAAAGACAAAAAAACAAAGGCATTTTATGACTGGGCTACCACAGGTATCCCAGTAAAAAAACGTCAATCAAGTGCCAGGGGGTTTCAACGTCGTCTTCAAAGCTTGTCTTTGGCAATAGCTGGTCTCGAGGAAGGAAGAAAACGAGAATCAGCGTATAAAATGGGAATGACGAGAGGCCATTCTGTCGCTGCCATTTCTATTGGTATTCTGCAGTTGTTGTTTTCCGTTGCTTTGATCATTCCCTCTTTCGTTCTTTCGAGCTATGGCCACGGCGTCAACACATCCTCAACGCCATATTGGTGTGGGTTCCCGGTGAGTGTGAAAAGATTTCGTTTCGTTTACGTGCAAATCTGTGGTGTAGTTAGAGGGTTTTCGAAATTGATTTCTGTTCTGGAAAGGGTTTTAGATGTCAGTGAAACCTGTAAATTAATTTATTTCCTCGAAACCTACGGTTTAACCTGCGATTTCATTTTTTCCGGGTGACATTTGAGGATACGCGTCTGCCGAGCGCCCCTTAGGAACTGAGTTGTTAAAGTTTCTCACGCAAGAAGCTTCCATGGAAAGCCATTTTAGAGCGTCGAGAGACCATGACGGACATTGCAACTTAGAGCTATCATGTCTTCGAGGCAATAGGCACTTAGTCATTTGCACCCCTTTGGCTAACCAGAAAGTGTTGAAACGTCTGAAGCTATTTTCCCACCGTAGTGCTAATGCCGTCGATAATACCTTTGTAATCAAGTGGAGCTACGCCTTTTATTTCGATGATTAATGTCGCCGTTGTCCCCTAATATGTGGATCTCATCCTCATCGCTAGTGTTAAATATCAAGTCTTTTTTCAATTGATCTCTAAATAGCTAGAATTGTTTTCTATGCGTGTTTAAAATGTCGGGAAGAGGATGACGTTTCTTGCGGATTGAACATGCAAATAGTCTCCATGAAACGTTTCGTGTTCAGAATAAATGTGTAATACACACAGTGATCACATGATCCATAGACTATATACTACCAGAGTTGCTGTGCACATTCAAAATCTATATGTGAAGAAAACCATTTTGATCAAAATTACCATATGCACTTTAAATTACCATATGCACTTTGAATACGTTTCAACTTAAATTAATTCAGACTTTGCTTATCTTTTATTTTGAATTATTTATGAATGACGAGAAATAAATCAGGATCATTGGCCAAGTGCATGTCACCTGAATCCCCTAGAAGGAGGACATGAAAATGGAATATGAGTCTAACTCTGCAAAAAGTGGAAGATTTGTTGTTCTTTGTTACACTCAATTTTCCCATTGACACCTGAAGCGCCCGTGCTGCGCGGTGGACTCGCGCGAGAGACGCTTTCCCCCTACCTCCCCCACTAAGAAGAATTTTGTCTCCAAACTTTCTCTGTTGTTTGAGGATCTATAAACTTATCAGAATCCTTGTTTTGCGCAGTTATTTTGATGACTCTATGGGGCACTAGAAAGGCGTCATTTTATGCGTTCACAAGATGGAAAAAATGGCGTCCTCACGGCCGACTTTCAATATTTTCAAGTCGGATTTTCCGTTTCTTTCCGATCACTTTAGACCTTCTGGAACAGAAAGAAAAAGTAAAAATGTTATAGAATAATCTTCTTGGAAGATAATGGATATCAAAGTCTTAAGAGCGACAAATCAAACTTTCAAGCCGACAACACCACGATTCTCTGAAGCGATGCGAATTGGGGCCGTAAAGTGAAAACCGAACTTTCAGACTTCAAGTGAGGCCTAGCGACATTATGAAGATTCCAAGGCCCGGTAAATATCATGTGTGAGTAATGAGATGTCCAAAAAGTATTGTTTAATAGATGATTTGTGTCAAAACGTAGAACTTTCAGAATTTTCAACATAAAGCTGCGCAATTTACCAGCCGTGAAGTCAAATAAACAATGATCTAAGGAGATTAATTCTTCCTCGTGGGTTTCGTACACGTAAGAAATTCGCACGTTTTTTCGCTATTAACAGATAATCAAGAACCGTTTTGAATAAAACCATCCTCCGGAAACGTTCCTCGGTCAGTTTCGTCTTGCTTCTTATTTTTAAATTCCACAAAACATGAGGTCTCTCTACACACTGATAAATTTGCATATTCACTTTGAAATCCGATTCGCACACCTGTTTACACACGTCTTTTGTCTTGATTTTAGAGTAAAAACTCAATATACATCTATTGTCTTCTTCGTTGAAAGTAAGTTATTAAATGGCCTTCTTTCACTGGAGCTTGTGTTTGGGAAAAGATGATTCATATAAAAATTTACTATGCATTGTGTTTGCTTCTCCGGTTTCTCCAAAATGTTAACTTTTGGATAGGCACGCGTTAGGGTCGGTTTAAATAGTTTCAACATTTGCTTCAACATGCATTCAACACTTTATTGAACGAAATGTTTGGTGCGTTTGAACAGGTCGTCCAACATTGTTGAAAACGTAAAAATGTTGAAAGCTTGTGGAAAGCGTGTTGAATCAAGTTTAAAATTGGTTTAAACTTTCATTCAACATCTATTCAACTTTTCCTCTGTTCTCGAAAATATTGAATGGCCCCAGATATGTGACAACTTTCTAAGAAATGCAAGAACTGGAGATCAAAATTAAATGTTTTGTAAAGGAGACTTCAAGACTCATTGTCAAGGATGACAGGATGTGCAGATCATAGAAAAAGGGTTAAACACCCTCAGGTTTTTCTAAGTACTATTTGATTCTCATCCCTTAAATTTCGATTTTTTAATCAGGAATTCTTGAAATTCTAGACATTGTTTTACAATTAGGAAACACAAGCAAAACAGCACAACTGTTGGCTGAGAACCACCAGTATTGTGCATAGACACAGCAATGATTACTCAAAATGTAACTAAAAAATCTCTACACCTGCATGTTTAAGAACAATGTTATGCCCATAACTTCTTTTACTTTTGCTGTAGTAAAAGTGACTTTTATATTTTAGTTCTTTCTCTGTGGAATTTTTGGCATTTGTGGAGGTGTTACCAAGAACCATTGTTGTGTAAGTGTTACTCTTTGCAAATATTTTGTTTTTGTGAAGCTTTTTTTGTGGTTATTCTGAAAGAAAAGCACGAAACTTTATTGTCATCTGGTGACTCTGAAAATTTTCAGAAAATTAAATTTCCTTACATTTTTCATATTGACTTTTTCATGTTTGTATAGTCACAATGATCTAAACATGAGGGGTTGGGGTATTTGGGAAAGTTATGCAAATCTGAGACACAGAATTCTCTGGATTCAGATGACTATTTAGTACCCTCAGATAGCCACATTCAAGAATATTTTTTTGCAAATTGTGGGACAGCTTTGTTTATAGCCTTAAAGGTATGAGAAAATGTTTTGATAAATGATTATTTTGAGAGTCAAAACAATGCTATTAATTTAAGTTGTATTTTGTAATTTATTCCAGATGATTACATTTTTGGTCTTCAGCATTATTGTCACAGTCATTTCTGCATCAGCATCGCTTATTGTCACTTTAGCTCTGTCCTACTGGGATGTTGCAGTTGATCTTTCTGACTGTACCACTGTTGGAGACTCTTGCGTTTGTCCAGGTGACCAAATTTATGAAGGTATGTTAGACTCTACTATTTAATTACATTTATTTTGTAATGGTGTAATTTTTCATTTCTCCTATATCTTCGAATGTTTCAGTAATTCAAAACAAAATCTAGCTTTTCTGAAATTCTGCATCCTGTCCTAAAATCAGAGGTGCTTTGTTAATGTCACTTTTATTATAATATTGGTGAAAATTTGCACTATTGGTGTCTCAAAGTGGTAATTAATCAAATTGTATTGTGATCTGTCCATATTTAATGATGATCAAGAAAATTTTGCACTGTTGATCATTCTCTAAATTGCAGTAGGCCACTTCTGAGTTCTCGCAGTTCGGTGATCTGGTACCAAAATTACAGTGTGAGGTCAAGGCTAAGTGCAAAGTATAAGGAATACAGTGGCATGGTTAAGAAAATGAGCAAAAATTTCTCAAAATTCAATGTGGGAGAGTGAAAAATTACTTGTGAGAGAGGTATCCAGTAAAGTGATGGCAGCAAAGAAAAAAAAACCAGAACTGTTTGATTTATGCAAGAAAGCTGCAGCAATGAAGCAGATCAAAATTGCTTCTTCTGCCAAAGACCCCCAAAAAAAATGTAGGAGGAGAAATTAGAAGCAAGTGAGAGCAAATTTCAGGTACCAAAAATTTTTAATGTGCAGAGGTACCACTTTTCTAACATTCCAGAGTTCAGCCTTGCCTTAGTTGTTTTGATGTCATCATATAACTGTTGTTTACTTCTTGCTGAATCGTAGTGAGGGCTCACTGTAGTTTGTGAAATGAACACAAAGAAATTGAAAGCTGTAAATTATGAAATGAACTCAAAAACCTGTAATTCTGCAATTTGCTGATGGAAATCTGTAGATCTGTTGTTTGCAACAAGAAATGTGGAAAACTTATGACCTCGAGCTGGAAGGATGAATCGGTCAGTTCACTGCTATTGCAGATAACATACATAACTTTGAAATAATAACCATTAGAGAAAGTGCGAAAGGAAAATCGTCGTAGTTTACTTTGCGAAATATTCACAGGAACATTTATGATGAATTATTCAAATGTGTGACATGACACTTTACTTGAACTGGAAGGGTCACACATTCCCTGGGCTCATCAAGAAACCATGGCAGTTATCTCAGACCATTCCCTTTTTTTACAACAAAAATCTTCAAATATGGAATGAAATCAGAAGGAATTTTAGCTTGGGGTTCAAATGTAAATTATAGTTTATATCGTATGCTAAGTTTTATTTGCAATCTACGCTGGTAATGAACTGAACAATTCATCCTCCCGGGCAGAGGAGTTTACCACATGACTCCTCCTTTGGTAAATGACAGATTTTCATTTCGCAAATACAGCCTTCCATTTTGCTTATTACATATTTTGAGTTCATTTTGCAAGTAAAAGATTTCAAATTCACTTTGTTCAGATTGTTTTGCAAATTACAGTAGGCCCTTGCGACGATCGAATCAGGAAAAAAACAATGAGTAAATGATGACAAAGAAGAAACCAAGGCTAGACTTGGTCAGGCAGCATGCAAATGCCAAACACAAACTCTGGAAAGTTACAGAAGTTGTGCATCCAAGCATCCAAAATTTTAGGTACTAGAAATTTGCCCTCACTTGTTAGTAATTTCTCCTTATTACCTCATGCAGTCTTTAGCAGAGCTGCTATTTGGATCTGCTTCATTGTTGCAGCTTTCTTGCATAAATCAAACAGTTTTGCCGTTTTCTTTCCTTTGTGTCCATCACTTAGCTGAATGACTCTCTCCCACAAATAATTTTTCACTCTCTTACCCTGACTTTCGGGAAATTTTCTCTCATTTTCATCACCAGGGCACTTTATTCTTTATACCAATGAAAACAACTTTGCACTTAGCCTCATTCTCACGCTGTAATTTTGGCACCAGATCACTGTGAGAACTCGGAAGTGGCCTATTATAGTATTGTATCTGGATTTTGTGTTTTGTTTTATAAAAATTTTGCTCAAACTACAAACACTTCTCTTCAAAAACTTCTCAGCAGGATCAACTGCAGAGGTTTATTGCAGAGTGTCACAAGATCAACATTCTGAAAAATCAACTTGTTTGCTATAATTGAGAGGAAGACACCTGGTTGCACAATTAATTAAAGGCATATAAAGTTGCAATTTGCATCTTTCTCTACTTTAGTATCACTTTTCTTTCTTGCTCTTTGGATTTTTTGGAGTCCTGCAAAACTTCCCCATGGCTACACATTGTTGCACAATGCTTTGTGTAAATATTCTTTTTAAGTTAACCTTTTAACTCCCATGAGTGACCAGGACAGAAGTTCCCCATACAATATCAATATGATATCAACTAGATGAATTATGAGAATAAAGGAAAAAATCAATTAGGGGAAGATTCATTGACCCAATACTAAGTTCTCTAAACTAACATTATAAGAATTGTATGGTTGACAGTAAGGAGAATTACAAATTTGATCTGGGAGTTAAAGGGTTAAGTGAATTTATAAGTGGGGTGAAGAACCCATTTCAGTAACTCGGTGTCAAAATTTTAAGTTTCTAGCCAACACAGACTGCGAAAGGGGAACAAAAATACTGTATATATGTAATCCTTTATAACTCTTGTCTGCAAAATTACAGGAGAATGGCGATGCAAATAATGATAAGAGTGGTTCAATAATAAAAATAGTAGCAATTAAGGTAATTTTTACATTAGTTAAGTTTTACTTCATCTCTATAAAGCTCAATGAACTACCTCTCTGATCACTGTTAGAGGTAATTAATCTCTAAAATGACACTCTTTACTGCAGTGGATGACTGCTCCTACCTGAGCAGCATCAGAGCTGTGATTGTTGTGATCATGATTGTCTGCTACATCTCCACTGCTTTGGCCCTGGCTGGATCAATTTTGGGCTGTGTTACAACTTGCTGTGCCCCACCTGTAAGTAGAGAGGCATTTAGAGATTTGTAGGATTGAAAGCACTAAATGATGCATGAACATTAGAAATCTTAATAGCATAATTTTGTTGAAAATATTGTTGAAAAGAAACTGCTAAGAAAGATGTTCAGTTTTTGAGGAGTGGTGGACAAGAAAGAATCTGAGTTCACCTCAAGCAATTGAACCTCATATCTTTGTTTTTTGTAGTCCATTGCTACTAGTAATGATATCATTTTTAAATACCTCATTGAGTTATTGACAACATGTTCTTGTATGACAGGCATTCTGTTTGTAAGTTATTTATGCTGGCCAGTTATTTTGAAAACAGCAGTGAGTAACATAATGACTGAGCAAATCTTTGCTTCTCTTAGGATCCCCCCATGATGGTTATTGCTCAGCCAACAATGGCCCCCACTGGTGTGGTGGTCTCTCATTCATCCATGCAGGTTAGCGGAGCGGCTCCAATGGCTTACCCCCAAGGGGCTTACCCCCAAGGTGCTTACCCTCAGGGTGCTTACCCTCAGGGTACTTATGCTGGACAGGCCATGTTCACAGAGCAAACAGCAAAGACTCATGACAAGGCTCCCTTGGTTGTGTAAACTGTTGTCACAGTTTTGATATTTCCTTTTTTTCTAGATTATAGTTGTTGTAAGTTTCAGTGCATAGTTGGCATCTAACTCAGTGTGTAGTCATAAACTAAAGAATTAGAGCCTTTTTTTATCTTTCCAAAAAGAAAAATTGATTCAAAAGTTTTTTTTTTTCATATCAAGAATGATTCCAGTTCGTTACAGGTTAGGTACCACATGGCAGATGGATATTTTCCTCTCCATTGTTTATGATTTAGCAAAGAAGGCTTTGTTTATTAATGTATGTGCTTTGTGACTGTACAACGGGTTTGCTTTTTGGTAAAAAAGCTGAACAACTTCCTGTAGCAATAAAAGTTCTTAGCATTCTTTTAGACATTAGCCTGTCAGACAGATTTCTATATGTTAGTCATATTATAAAGGTTATATAGGGGAGACCGATTGAAAGCCTTTTCCATGACGTATACAAGAGTAAAAAAAAATATTTCAGGATCAAGAGTTGCTTTTCAGAAGAGTGTTATCTTTGTCTAGAAAGTTGCTATTGTACTGAATGCAGGTCAGAAGAGTGTACTCTTTGTTAAGAAAGTTGCTATACTGTACTGGATGCAGGTTAGATAAGAATTCTACAAGTCAAGATGAGTGCAGTTGAAACTGTTGCCAGCATTTTTTACCATCAAGAGAGGGAAACAGCAATCATTTTATTAATGTTCTGATAACTTAATTGTGTTTAATCTCGTTGAGAGTAGGCCTGTACGGTGTAGCATTTGATAGATTTAAGAGGCTGTCTCTCTTATTTCCACCCGGTCAATTCTGCGTCAAAAATAATTTTGCCTGAAACTCTGTTAACAGAAAGACTTTACCTAGGAAAGAACTAAATTAGATTTGGTTTGATTCGAAATAATTTTCTGACTGCATTACGGGCCATAATTATTTCCCAGTCCGTAGGGACCGTCGCAACGTCTCGAAAATTGAAAAATAGGCATATTTTGTAACGTTGTAAAATATTTGATTCGCATAGTTAAGCCACAGAATTTATATCAGATTGCTTAAAAACCTTTCTAGTTTGCCAAGAAAGTTAGAATTTGCCCTCTCAACAAATTTGAAAAGGCGAATTTTAGCATATTCTGACCACTAGAAATCGCCATCGGCCGATGGCCGTAAATAACCTTGATTTAGACGCTAAGTTTTGGGATTTGGGACCTGGTTGACGATTCTATCCTACACAGCCGTTAAGTGTAGACCTTTATAGGCAAAAATATGCAAAAACCCCTGTACGTTTTCGATTTTTCAAAAGTTATGACCGTTTGAATCAGCACATGTACGAGCATTCGCGATTTTTTCGCCTACACCAAAATCGAACCACTGGAGCAGATTTCGTCATAAATACAGCTTACCCGCTTTGCAGCCCGGCTTCATGGCTCACTTCAGAATTTTTCTAATAACCAAATTGGTGAAATCCATGATAACTTCAACAAATAGCTAGGTATTGCCTTCGAAAAGTTGGCGGCATCCATCGTGATTCGTGGTATCAAAACAAATGCCGGAATTGGCCACATTTCGCGGTGAATCACCCATTTAACATCGCTGCAGAGCTGAATTTTTTCCAAAATCAGAATATAAACTCACCATGTCTGGAAGTTGAGGGAGAAATGAAGGTTTTAGGCTTCTGAAGTGAAGAAATAATCGCTTAAATTTAGATCCAGTTCGATGTTATACTGTTCTCACAAAGGTCCGCACAAAAGAGAAGACCGCTGATAGCTTGTGCCGTACGTTGTGCCATATGGTTTTGTTTTGTATCCCAAAGTAATATTTGGGCAGAAAAATTTTGGATGAAAAGAATAAATGCTTTTACCTGGAGTTTGATATCATATAATTAATAAATCAATTTAAAATATCCTGAGCTTGCTTCTCTCGGTTCCGCGTCGATTGTGTCCACAGAACAGCAACATGTCAATAGCCGGAGAAATCATGGGTTTATGTGAAATTTCAGATATTCCTCGCTTCCCAAACTGGTGAACTGGACTTTATGATAACTCCAGCAAATACCTCCAAAATTAAGCGGTCCGCATCTGTCGATACTCTTCTTTGACTCGTTGTTGCGAACTAAACTCGAAAACTAAAGCCATGTTTCGCGCTCAATGTCCCTTTGAAACTTTGGATTGCAGCTGCATTCTCTTCAAGAATCAGTCATAGAACTCCACTTGTAAGTCTATGTGTCGAAGTTTGGCGTTTTGGAATTTAAAGCTGAACGATTGCACTATCGCGTATAACAGAGGTCCGCATTAATCATTGCGGGTGAACCCGCTAACCCTTTATTTTTTTTGGAAGGCCTGCAAGTGTAGTATGGCATGCAAGTGCTTTTTCGAAACCAGAGAGGCTTCAGTCTGTAGCGAGTCTTCAGCGAGGTTGTTAAAGCTTTCATTGGACAGAGGATACGCATTGACGAAACACCCAGTGAAGGGAACAACAGCTGCAGTAAGAATAGTAGACGAATCAAAGAACACTCTGTATAAATAAGATCGAGCATTTTAGTAGCTTCCACAACTTCGATTCGAATATGGAGATATCGGTCTGAGAGTTTGGAAATGTTATGGCATCGGTAAAGGGAAGTACATTCCATATGACGTAATTTATATCAAGCACCAAGGTCAAACGTCCCTTCAAACCATAGAATCTCAAGGGTTTTATGATCCTCCTGAAAAGCGTGTGGTCAAGCGCGTTCAAAGGGCAGCAAGGAAACAGAGAGTACAACGCCATTGTTTGAATGCTCTGTGTTTGGATGTGTTGAAGTGTTCGAAACCTTTTCGCAAAAGGAGCTGCACCTGGACGTTGGAAAGCATACAGTCAGCCGGTTAAAGCCAGTATGATGCAATCAAAAGGGACTGGGCCCTTAAGTTCTCGTCGATAGATACCGCTGGTATCGAGTGTTCGAGCTGTTCGTTAGATTCTAGTACACCACTCACTTCTCTCGTGGATACTTCGCCCCACTCGTCTTTACGAACAGGATGGGCCGTAAGCAAACCAAGGGGCAGCGTTAGATTTTCAGAGAAGGTAAAAGAATACCTAACGGCACGGTTTACACTTGGAGAAAGAAATGGGCGAAAGGCCGACCCCGCCCAAGTTGCAGTGGACATGCGAAATGGGAAAAATGAATCAAATGCACGTTTGTTCACTAGAGGACAGTAGCTGACAAAGAACCAAGTTCAGAGCTTTTTCTCCCGGCTAGCAGCAATGCGGCGAAAAGATCAGGGTGTGATCGGGATATCACTGGATGAGGAGGAAGATATCCAATGCGTCCAGGAAAATTCCGAGAGATAAGATCTGGTAGACAAAGTTAACAAAGAGATCAAAGTCTCACATCCAATCTGCTACGATACGTAGGACCTCTGTGAACGTTACCACAATAACACACTTCAGAAATTCAATGTGGTTTTGTTGAGAGCCATCTGTAGTCATTTTGAGATCCCTGTAAAATTGAGAGACAAAAAACAGATCCTCATAGACAAATTGTCGGACGTGATTAGTGATTGTCAGTGTGTTTCTCAGTAGACTTATGTAAACAATGTCTTATACGGTGGCTGAAAGTGTAGAATATGCTCTACAGATACAAACTACCTTTACTTCCGATATCAAGTTCTGACGGCGTTGTTATAGCGTAATATATTATAATATCTAGTAGTCAGTGAAATGTTTTGATGAAATCGATTGAAAATTTACCAAAAGCAACACCTATAACATCTGCTGTTCTGTGGACACAATCGACGCGGAACCGAGAGAAGCAAGCTCAGGATATTTTAAATTGATTTATTAATTATATGATATCAAACTCCAGGTAAAAGCATTTATTCTTTTCATCCAAAATTTTTCTGCCCAAATATTACTTTGGGATACAAAACAAAACCATATGGCACAACGTACGGCACAAGCTATCAGCGGTCTTCTCTTTTGTGCGGACCTTTGTGAGAACAGTATAACATCGAACTGGATCTAAATTTAAGCGATTATTTCTTCACTTCAGAAGCCTAAAACCTTCATTTCTCCCTCAGCTTCCTGACATGGAGAGTTTATATTCTGATTTTGGAAAAAATTCAGCTCTGCAGCGATGTTAAATGGGTGATTCACCGCGAAATGTGGCCAATTCCGGCATTTGTTTTGATACCACGAATCACGATGGATGCCGCCAACTTTTCGAAGGCAATACCTAGCTATTTGTTGAAGTTATCATGGATTTCACCAATTTGGGTATTAGAAAAATTCTGAAGTGAGCCATGAAGCCGGGCTGCAAAGCGGGTAAGCTGTATTTATGACGAAATCTGCTCCAGTGGTTCGATTTTGGTGTAGGCGAAAAAATCGCGAATGCTCGTACATGTGCTGATTCAAACGGTCATAACTTTTGAAAAATCGAAAACGTACAGGGGTTTTTGCATATTTTTGCCTATAAAGGTCTACACTTAACGGCTGTGTAGGATAGAATCGTCAACCAGGTCCCAAATCCCAAAACTTAGCGTCTAAATCAAGGTTATTTACGGCCATCGGCCGATGGCGATTTCTAGTGGTCAGAATATGCTAAAATTCGCCTTTTCAAATTTGTTGAGAGGGCAAATTCTAACTTTCTTGGCAAACTAGAAAGGTTTTTAAGCAATCTGATATAAATTCTGTGGCTTAACTATGCGAATCAAATATTTTACAACGTTACAAAATATGCCTATTTTTCAATTTTCGAGACGTTGCGACGGTCCCTACGGACTGGGAAATAATTATGGCCCGTAATGCAGTCAGAAAATTATTTCGAATCAAACCAAATCTAATTTAGTTCTTTCCTAGGTAAAGTCTTTCTGTTAACAGAGTTTCAGGCAAAATTATTTTTGACGCAAAATTGACCGGGTGGAAATAAGAGAGACAGCCTCTTAAGTTACATAGTCCAAAGGTAGTTTTTGTTTCGGTTTCTCGTGTAAGGTTTTAAATTTTGCCTATATGCCATGTATTTTAGTATATTATATCAAAGTCAGCTTATTGCGATACTTGATGCATTGGTGATAAATGTTAAATAAATCATTTTGTCGTCTCATGTCAGACATTTTTTCTGCTGATTCTCATGCCAGAGATTAGGATCTTTAAGTCAACGTCAGATTTATTTTTTCACCGGTCTCAAATTCAGTAGCATGCAGGTTTGTTATCCACGCAAGATTGTGATCTTGCACTGAAAAGAGAAGGGAAAAAAAACAAATAAATAATGAAGGTCAGGAGGTCAAGAGGAATAGTAGACACCTATGATCGCCTGCGTGTTGCGTGGATTTTCTAATTCGCTTCCATTCCCGCATGCTAACTACCCACGTGCTGCTTGGTCAACTTACGGTTGCATGACACGGGTAATTTCCATTAAATTTATTTAAGATTAAACGACTGATCGTTGAT